AGAGGATCACACCACTAAAAGTGTACCTCGGATATGATATCCTGATAAGCAACTTAGGATGCTTTCCAGAGATACTTTATCAGACCCACATAAGGAAGCCCAATGCTCTTCGTGAGATGTGACGTTTCTCCCTACATAGGTAAATTGGGTTGGAGCTCGGGTTTAGGGCAAAGATATGCAACGGTCTTAAATAAATTCACAGAAGTGTAAGCATTAACTAGAGAGAAAATCTTTTTTATTTGAAATAACATAACGAATTGTAAATTAAAATAATATCGAACTCATAATTTCCCAAAATCCTAAATACAGGGTAACCAACTCATGGCTTGACTCTCAATTTGTTTTAAAAGCAAAACGTCCCCAGTAGATTCGCCAGTTGTCGACACCTTTTTCGCCCGGGCAGGGAAAGATCGATATCGACTCGGAGGTTTTCTCTTTGAAAAGAATTTTCAAAATGTGAGGATTCGCAACCAATCATTTAATGTGCGATTGGGACACCATAAAAATCGGGTTATTTTAATAAAAAAAAATTATTTTTATTAAAATATTGAGTTTTAAGGTCTGCGAAAATCCAAAAATCAGGTTCGGGAGTCAGTTACGCGTGGGGAATGATTAACACCCCCACAAGCACCCAAAAATGTGTACCTAGTTGATTACCTATATTTAAAATCAGAAATTTTGAGTTTGATCTTTATTTAATTTGAAAATCATTATGGATGCAAAAAGTTGAAAAGGGTATTCGTTTATTAAAGTCGATAGCATTCGCCCCCTAGCATAAACGCGGGAGATCGGCTATTGTTCTTGATAACCGAATATTGCCTCATTTTTAGAAATCATGATGCAGTCTTTGAAAAGGATGTTGACCTATTTCGGGAACCACCAGTAGTCACCCCATGAGCATACTTGCGGGAGATATACCATTAATTCCTTAATAAGTGAACATTGACTTAGGTTTAAAAAAAATGCAATCAAACAAATTTTAATTATTCTAATTAAACTAAGAGTAAATTAAGGTTTTTTCTAGCTTAAAGTGTCAAATTATGAAAATTAAGGACCCTAGGAGATTAAATCTAAATGTAGGCTCTAATATTTACCCTATTCGATTTTTAAATCAATTATTGAATCGAATAACCGAGATGGTCCCTCAAGTATTTAAGTGAGGGCCGCCTCGAGATATTCCCTAAATTAAAGAGACTAATTCAAAATCTAGCTAAAAATGGAGGCTCTATTTAACCTATTTGATTATGTCAATCTTAAAGGTCTAATTAAGGTTCAGGGACTAAGAGGTCAAAGGACTAAAATATTGATTTCTAAAAGACTAAAAAAATAAGGACCTAAATCAATAACTTCTAAAGTTTAGGACTAATTAATAAACCAGAAAACCTAATTTATATCTAAATTATTAAACCTAAATGATTTTTTAGAAAATATTAATTATTAATAAATTTTAAAAAGTCGAGCAATCGATTCGAGTAATCAGGCATCTTATGCGAAAACTCGACTTCAATTGCTCCCTAATTAAACTAGAGTGTCATCCTAATTTCTAAGTTCGATTTCGAAAGTTAACCTAATCTAAAAACAAAATTTGTGGATTAAAATTATGAGATAATCAAAACAATTAATAAACCTAATTTTTAAAAAAATCAAAATAACAAATAATAAAAAATAGTAAAAACAACATAAAATAAAAATAAACATAAATACAAGGACCTAATTGCATAAATATTAAATTACCAAGCTAAAGAAAGAACAAATTCAACATGCAATAGAGGCTAAATTAAAACAAAACAAAATGTAAGGGCTAAATCTAAACAAAATAAAAAATAGTAAAGGGACTAAAATAAAAAACACGCAAAAATTAAAGGGACCTAACTAGAATTTTACCAAAGAAAATATATCATGCATAAAAATGGGTAAATTACAAAATAGTCCCTCTAGGTGATCGAAATGTAAAAACATGCTAAAATTAGAGGGACTATATAGTAATTATACCAAAAATTACAAAGAATATATGTAAATGGGGAAATTACTAAAACATCCCTTGTACAGGACCATTTTGTAAAAACGTGCGTGAATTCAGTAAACCAAAGAGCAATTTTACCCGAAACTTTTCTATAAATACAAACATTTTTTTGCGTTTTCATTTTTTCCCTTTTTTAAAAAAGTTAGAGAGAGAGCCTCTCTCATCTCTCTAGAAAACCAATCGTCGTCGGTGGCTTACCCTCCTCCGGCTGCCGTCTCGTTCATCGTCGGTCGCCGCGCCGTCGCCATCATTGGTGGCTGTTGGCTACCAAAATTTCAGGACATGTTCATCTCGTCGCGGTGGTCACAGATTGGGTCTCCGTTTTGCGAGAATCGCCCCCAAGCTCCATGAAAATGGCTAAGAACATCTCAGCTTCTATCGTCCCGATCTCCGTCGTCCGTCGTTGGATCGCCTCGATTTTCAAGTATGTTGCTCGCCGACTCCTCTTCTGCCTTTCAACCGTTCAGATTCGTGAGTGGAGGTCCCCACCGTAGGCGAAGCTCCGACCGAAGGTAAGTCTCTTGCTTTCTTTTCGATCTCTTTTTTTCTTTTTCTTTTTTGCATCTGCTCTGCTAAACGATCGAACCAAAAAGAAATAATGATAACAAAATGATTATAATTTCATGCTAGTTTAGGAACTTAAAGAAAACGGATGCTTAAAAAAATATCTTTATTGTTTTTCAAATTTCAGACCCTTTGTATATGGTTTGCTTTGAGGTTTTATACCCATTGTTACAGAGAAAAGAAATGATACAATCTTGTTTTCTTCCTTGTTGTTTGATGCAGGTTGCGTGGAGTGGGGCTGATGGAAGTGGCGTGCATGGGATGGTTCTTGAGCATTGGGGACAGAGGATGGTGGCCACTGATTGGGGGGTTAGGCGGCTACCCTAGGGCCTATGGTTAAACTCGGTTCGGGTCTTAGTTGGGCCCTAGGTCGGGTTATATTTGGGTTTATTTTGTTTGACTTTTTTTGGTTAGGTTTAGTTTTGGGTTTGGCCCTAAGACCTGACTGTAATAAAAATGGAAAAAATGATGATCACAAGTTTCATGGTAAAATATACAAATGGTTTCTCGACTGTAATTTGTTACTTTGTTAAATTTCTTACCTATTATAAGTTGCAAAATACTTTTCAACTATAGTAGTTATTTTATGGAATCATTCGACTATTAAAAGTTATAAAATAATAACCTAACTATTCATATATTCCAAACTATCATTTTTTGTTAAAAAATTAAAAACCTTCTAAGATAAACGTTAACTTGTTGACTATGATATGCTATAATCTAACCCCAAATCATTTCTATTGTATTTTCATGATCAAATTTCTATTTAAATTTGTCATCAAATCAGTACTTGAAAACAACAAAAAATGATTATAGGCATTATTAAAATATAATTGTCATTTCTTAATCAACAGATTAAAATCCAATATAGACAAACATCAATTTTTTTTTTATGAAAAATGATGATTTCAAAATATATAAATAGTGAAATAATTATTTTGTAACTTTCAATAATCAGAAAACTCAACAAAATAATACCCTATAATAGAAAAACCCTTTTGTAACTTCCAATAATCAAGAAAACTTAATAAAATAACATCTTATAATTGAAGACAACTTGTAGACTTAACCCAAAATATTATGATCATCGAATTTCAGTCTACAAAATTGGCATTTCCAACTACGACTGTTCAGGGGGAAAATCTTGAAAGCTCATCTATTGCGCGTCAGTCAAACTCCCAACAATCAATTTTATTATCTTTCTTCGATTTTAAATCTTACGAGTTTTAACGTCTTGAGCAACTTAAGTAGTAAAAATTAATATCGACTTTAGTAAAAATTAATATTTTTCTCCCCAGAAAACCAAGATTCGAGCAGTATATGTTGTGACTAACTAAAAAAGATTTTAAACAGATAATATTTTGTTACCCCTCCAAATTATTTTAGAAAATCTCAAAGACTATCTTACTTCTAAAGAGGGTGTTGAGAGCACCTCATATGAGAAGAGCCACATGCATTAAACTTTAATATTAGTACACGAAGGGGGATGCAACCCCATGAATTTGAGCTTAAATATCATGTAATGGGAGAGGCAGAGTTGGTACCATTTAGGCTAGCAGAACTCATACAAAAATTCTCTGAACATCCTCTTCTGAGCACGGCAAACACTTCAAAGTGTAAAATCAAGCAGACATATAAGGAGTAAAATATAAAGTACTGATAATTTGATCGATTATCATACAAAGAACACTTCAAAAACTTATTTCATAGTCGGAAGATCCTCAGCGGCATCAAATTAAATCCTTTGGTTGTAATTGTAGTAGACTTTGGTTGATTTCTTAATCAAATCATGGTGCAATATGAATGAGTTGAAAGGCAAATCAGGTATGTTCATCAAAAAATCAAACACCGAACCCACTTATTATTCTCCTTCAATGAGCAGAAAAGCATGCATGAATAAAGCAGAAGATGGCAGAGTGAATAAAATAAAGGGTAAACTATTCGTTTAGTACTTAGACTATTATTTTTGTTATATTTTGATACACAAACTTTATTTTTTTTCAAAATATATCTAACGTTTAGTTTAAGTTTCATTTTGATATCCCACATTAAGTTTAGATAATATCACATCATCATTGAAAAAATAAAAAAAATATCAACAGTTATATTAATTTTTTAACAATGAGATATCAATTTAAAACCTAAATTAAACTTTAGATATAATTTTAAAAAATAAAATAAAATTTAAATATCAAAATAGAATAAAAATAATAATTTAAATAATAAACGTGTATTATCCTAAAATAAAAGGTCATTATTCGGTTCATAGTAAGATGCGAGTGCGAGGCTGATGTAGGCTAGAGCCTAAGTGGTGGCTGTCTATAGGACATGACATCACTGACAAGATTAATAATCACATTCACTATTAGCATGTGTTTGTGGGTCTTAGCCTCGCGGCTGGTGTTTCCTTTCGAAGTTTGCCCTTATCTATAACCAGAGATTAACATTACTAAATCATTCAAAAAGGAATCTACGCTACCTACAAATTACGACCACCCAGTTGCCACGCATCTAACAAACCATAATAAAAGTTAATATGGTAGTGGTTCAAGATTCCACTAGGATCACTCTTTTTTCTCTAATTTGGAAAAGAGGGGATTCGAACCTGAACTAAATTCCTCATTTAACTTGATGATAATGGCCGCAACTAATACAACAGGTCTAACATTATGCAACGGATTCTTACAATGAAGATTATACAGTCAGCACTCTTTCATCATCTCATGTCGAATGCTGATCCAACATCGTACTTTGAATTTATCTGCAATAAGGCAATCGGATCAAGTTTATTTATTTCAATTTCCATGTCATGATAATTTGTATAACGATTATGAAAAAAAAAGAGTGGAAAAAGTTATACATGATGGAATTAAAAGAGATGACTTGTTGGCCTACCAAAACTGGTTCATTAAAATTGTGCCGGTCGACTGTATAAATATGATGCATTTTATTTCAGACAATTGAAATATGTTGAACTAACAGATAAGATTATGATATGATAAAAACTGGATAACTTTCCAGGCAAGAGAAGCAGCAAGCAATCGGGCTGCCGAAATTTCTACTAGCTAATAAACATGGGAAAATTGTAGAATGATGGTGAGATTTGAGCAGCGGTGGAATTTTCAAACTCAGTTAATATGCATTCGGATAGTGCATTTGCATATCATACAGTGCAGAGGAGAGCAGTAATAATCATATTCTTACGTGTAAAAGTTTGCCCCGGATTTCTATCGTTCAAATCCCATTATGGCATAAAGAGTTAAAGACAAGGCGTGAAATGCAAGGGATAAGTCACTGTCACCTTTGGCATCAGGATGAGTACTGAGACTGGCAATCTTGGGATGATTTCCCATGTAGTTTCACCAAAGAGACATGAGGTGGTCGTGCTCGTGTAGAAGAATGCGATTCGCTTTCCTTCACATGCTCATTTGAGAACTTATCTCCCATTTGATTTGAGTAGACGTCTAAGGAACGAGATGAAGATGTTGCCAACTTTCTCTTGTTCTTAAACCTTTACCTAACAGGGATGTGAGAAACAAACAGAGAACAAGATTGGGTGCTTATTTAATTATAAGGTAGGAAATATTTTCCCTGAATGATACCTGTCTTTCTTTTTCTCAAGATATCTTTGCACCAATGCATTCCTGTTGATGGGACCTTTAGGAAGCAAGTCACATGAAAAGCATAATTAAAGCGAATAAAGGCAGAAAATTGACATAATCATCGCATAAAGACATATCATCGCATAAAGACATAATCATCGCATAAAGACACCATCATCTTCATATTTAGTGAAAACCATATTATATTGTTTTCTTTTCATCCACTGAAAGATCAATCAGCGACCTTAAAGACCATAAATCATATAGGCTATGGTGTATTAGTTTCAATAATGTTTGTATGCAGACAAATTTAAAACAGAAATCAACAAATCCAAAAAAATCAAGCAATCTGATTTAACTTTTGGAATTAAAAAAGTTCAGAGTTGAGCCAGAGACTGTTATTTCCCAAACAAACAAAAACACAAGTAAAAATCCGGTTTTTCAGTTCCGCCATATATAGTATTAGAATGTGATATTCAGAGAATGCTAATAAGATGAAACGGTAGTAAACCTCAAGTCCAGGTAATCAATGGCTTTCGACTTTAGCCAGCAAAAACAACAAAAGATATTAATAAAATGCATGCCAAATGACATTTGTTTTTCTTTACCACAGCAGTTCTCATATACACATATATCCCTTGAAATATTATCAAGGTCACCAAAATTATCATAGCTCAAAATAAAGGTCAGCTAGTCCATCCTGGTAGAACACCTAATAAAAAACATCATGTACTATTTCATATCAACAACCACGAGAAAAAGGATATAATCACGCTGACCAAAAAGCTGTAGGCCAAGTACCAGAAGTATCTACACAAGCGGAGAAGCAATGTATAGATAGATGCTTTTTCTAGCTTTTTTTCCTTCCTTTTTCTTCCTACAGGTTGTCGGAGAAGGAGGGAGGCGGGAGGTTCTATAAATGCAGTTCTCATATTATCAGAAGCAGACCAGGATGCACGTTATCCAACAGGTAGAATATGTTTGGAGGTTCTATAAGTGTTGTTAGGTTACACCTGGAGTCTGGCTCTGGTATATTAACATCATTATGAAGACGATAGGAAGTATAAGCATGAGAATTACATACAAGGGAGAAATAAGGTTTGGTTCAATCATAATTCATTAAATCAAAGATTTGCATCACAATTGTATCTGCTGTAGTTCAAATACTTATAAAGATGCAGAGTATAGGAAAAATTGGAGATCAATATATTTGAGATTAATCCTAATAGAAGTCATGACGGGAGAGAGAATGGGAGAGAGAAAAGGGGAGAGAGAAAAGTTGAAAGGTAAAATAGATTCCGGCGAGGTCTGGAAGGCTTTTGTTGATAATCTTAGCATGAGAATTTCTCGCCATGAGCTAAGGGACATTTTTTCATCTCAGGGAACTGTGGAGAGAGTTTTCATCCCAAAAGAAACTAGGAATCCAAAATATAGATTTTCCACTTTCGCATTTGTTCAGTTTGAGAGGGAATCTGGCTTGAAGAGTGCAATCGATAAGTTAAATGGTTCACTGATAGATGGGAGAAGGATTACTGTTGGAGTGGCAAAATACACAGATGTTCGTCCAAGAAAAGAGGTTAAGACTAGTCCAGTTAAGATGGCTCCAGATTCGTCGACAGCAGGACCTTCAAAGTCGAAAGATGTAGATTTTTTCAGCAGGGGTGTTAGGGATGATAGAACGTACAAAGATGCTTTACTGACCAATGATACGAGGAACAATGTATTGGGGTATAGGGAATTATCCTCTAACGGGAGTCACAGGGAGAAAGCAAGGAAGAATGTCCTGGAAATGCATATTCCTTCTGAGAGTTCGAATTGGGTCAAAAGATCCTTAACGGGGATTATTAAGCTCTCTTTTGATTTTAAGTCAGTTGAGGAGGCTTTCATTGATAATGGTTATGAAGTACAGATTGCTGGTTGGAGTTATATCCGAAATTCTTGTGCTATCATTTTCAAATCTCATGAAGAGATGATGGAGGCATGGACAAAGAAGAAAGATGAAATAGGCTCCTGGTTTGATAGATTGGCCCTTTTACTAAATGAAGGAGTTCCAATGGCTTTTTGCCAGGCTGAGTTATTTGGAGTTCCTCTGTTATGCTGGAATGAATCTTTTTTGGAACGAGTTGCAGGGAGATGGGGAAGTATGGTAGAAATCCATGACTCCACTAAGAACAGGGATGATCTCACGTCTGCGAGGATTCTTATAAGAGTTGCAAGTCCTTTCGATGTTCCAGAATTCATTACTCTTGGATCCTATGGTAGATCGTATAGAGTCAATATCAAAATTGGATTGGTCTATGAAGATTCAAAACCTTTTTTCAAATTTTCTCCGGTGATCGGAACAGCTGGGGAACAGTTTGGTGAGTTGAGGTCTGAGGAAGGTGAAGATGGGGAGAAGTCAGAATATGAGGAAAGCTCAGTCAAATCAGCAGAGATATCCAGACAGAAGGTTGACTTGTGGATCGAAGATGGTGTTTCTTTCAGCTCAGCACAGTCTGATGGGGAATTACACTTTCCAAGATTTACAAAACATGGTATGGGCATTAAAAGAGGATTGTCAGGAGTTCAAAATGGTGGGAATGTCAAAGTAGGTGATTTTGCATGTCTTGGTATCAGGAATTCAAATAATTCGACTGATGGGCTAGAAGCCCAATCCGATGATGATATACTGTCTGGGTTGGAGGTTTCTAAGATAATTCCTTCTGGGCCAGCTTATACAATTAACAAGTTTGGTAAATTGGTGCAGAGTAGGGGAAATGTAACGGTTAGCAGTGTTAAAAAATAGTGTATGGGGTCCAGCCTTATTTCAGATTCATCTAGTAGTGAAGATGTTGAGGCTTCTAAAACTAATTTTATGCTGATAGTTCCTAATTCAGATTTATTGGAGAGCCAATTAAGAGGTGGATTGATGGTAATGCATAGAAGCTCGTTATCTACAAAAAGTGAGCCTTTAGAGAGGAGGAAAATGGCCAGTTACAAAAGAGTTTATAGAAGAAGTAGAGAGAGGAAATATTGGCATGAGGAGAAACAAAAGGGAACTAGTGATACAAAGGATGGCCTAGATCCAAAGAAGGTTATTGATCGGTCCTGCACGTCAGCTCAACAGATTTTTCAACCATCAGAGTTTAATATACAAGGCAGTGAGGAGACAAAATTAGCTGGTAAAGCTGATGTTAGAAGTATTGATGGACAGAGAGAGGGCTGTGTTGTGGATAGACAATTGTCAAAATCCAATTCTGGTAGTTGCAAGAGAAGGGTAAAAAGATTATTGGTAAGGGAAGCTTTAGATCATGTTAGCATATGTACAGCATCTTCTTCAGGTTTTTCGGAGCTTTTGGATGAAGCATTAGCTACATGGCAAGTTAGTCAGATTCTGGGAGTTTCTTTTACACAGGGGAAGGAGGCTTTTCTGGAAAGAATAATTAAATTAGAGAAAGGCTTGAATATGGACAATTGAGTTGCCATAGGAGGGAAGTCAGGTTTTTCAATTATTATTCATGAAGGACAAATTAGCAATAATTTCATGGAATGTAAGGGGCTTGGGAAAAAGAGAAAAACAGAAAGCAATTCAGAGATTAGTTTCTAGCACATATCCTTCTTTTATTTGGCTACAAGAAACTAAAGCAGAGAAGATACAAAGGTCATTTTTGAGAAGGAATGGGTTGAATATTTTCCAGGGTGTTATCGAATCTACAACTATTGGTTTTTGGTATGACAATGTGTTTGAGATTGAAAATCACATCATTAATAGAAGATTTATTGCTGTTGTGGGGAAATTCATATCGAACCAATTCAAAAGTGTGCTCATAAATGTTTATGGGCCTTCAGTGGAGGAAGAAAAAGAAATTTTTTTTGAAGAACTTAGTGTGTTTATTTCTGGACAGAATTTGTCGATTTGTGTTGGAAGGGATTTTAATGTGTACTTGTGTGAGGATGAGAAGGTGGGCAGAGCTCAGAACAGATTTCAATGAGGATTTTCTCTCAGTTTATTCAGTCTTCAGGGTTAATTAATCTGCCTTTGAATGGGGGCAGGTTCACTTGGTGTAATAACCAAGATGATCCAACATTTGTTAGATTGGATAGGTTCTTGGTGGATGGGCAGTTTTTGGCTACTTTTCCTGAGATAACTCAGCCACTTATCCCTAAATTCATTTCAGACCACAATGTTATTTTGTTACAAGATGGAGGAGTTGATTGGGGAAAAAAGCCTTTTAGATTGTTTAACTATTTGATGAAGGAAGATGGTTTTGAGGATATGGTCAGACATACTATCACAGACTGTAAAATGCTTGGGAGGAAAACTGGAATACTAAGTGTTTTGAAGAACTCAAAAGCAGCTATCAAAAAATGGGCAGGGAAGAAAAACCAGTTTCCAGGAGCAACAATTTCAGATTTAGAGAAGAAAATTCAAAAGCTAGAGGAGGAGGCCCAGCAGTTGAATGATGTTTCGGTTCAGGGGATTGCAGAGGAGATAAGGGTATGTAAATCAGAATTATGGAGACTTCACAGAATTGAGGAGCATATTTGGTTTCAAAATTCTAAAAAGAAGTGGATTAATGATGGGGACCAAAACACAAGATTCTTTCATACTTGTGCTTCAGTTAGAAGAAAACGAAATGCATTGAATGCTTTAATAGTTGATGGGAATATTACTCATGATCCATCTGTTATTAAATCCACTGTAAAAGACCATTTTTTCAAAATTTTCAATGATCGAACTTTTTTGGAAGTTGAAGAAATTGGATTGGCTTTTCCTAGAATTTCCCCCGAACAAAGTATTCTTTTAGAGAAGGAATTTTCCGAGGAGGAGGTTTGGGAGACTCTAAAGTCTTGCGATAGTAATAAAGCTCCGGGGCCCGACAGATTGAACCTGGGATTTTTCAAAAGATTTTGGACCGTTCTTAAGGAAAATATTATGCAGTTTTTTCACAGATTCTATGTGGGAAAGATTGGGAGGATGGCATTAACCACACTTTTATCACCCTTATTCCTAAGGGATCTAACATTGGGAGCCTTGATGATTATAGACCTATAAGTCTAGTAGGAGGAGTTTATAAGATTTTATCTAAGTGTCTTTCCAGGAGGCTCAGAAGTTGTATAGGAGATATAATCAGCCCAACACAATTTGCTTTTGTACCCGGACGACAAATTTTGGATTGCTCTCTCATTGCTAACGAGGGTATTGATTATTGGAGGAAGAAAGGGCTTAAGGGTTGTGTGTTTAAAGTTGATTTCAAAAAGGCTTATGATACAGTAGACTGGCCTATTTTGTTCAAGGTGATGGAAAAGATGGGTTTTGGTTCTACTTGGATAAGTTGGATCAAGAGATGTGTTTCTACAACTTCGATTTCAGTGTTAGTAAATGGGGTTCCATCCGAGGAGTTTCCAATGGCCAAGGGTCTTAGACAGGGATGTTCACTCTCACCTTTGTTATTTAATCCAGTTGGGGAATTGTTGAATTTATTAATCCAAAGGGCCGTCTCTGAGGGATTATTTGCTGGTATGACTGTTGGCAAGGGGGAAGGTTCCTTTAATCTTAAACAATTGCAGTTTGCGGATGACCTAATTATTTTTTGTGGAGCTTCAAAGACGCAAATTATGAATGTGAAGAGGGTGCTTAGGGTATTTGAGGTTATGTCAGGGCTGCAATTAAACCTGAAGAAAAGTAGATTGTTCGGGCTTAACACTTCCCAAGAGGAGGTTAAGACTTGGGCAAACTCTATTGGTTGTACAGTCGGAAACTTCCCCTCTAACTATCTAGGCCTCCCACTAGGTGCTACTAAGAACGCCTCAGTTATTTGGGAACCAGTGGTGCAGAATTTTCAAACTAAATTAGCCGGTTGAAAGGTTGCTACTCTGTCATTAGCAGGCAGACTGATTTTAATCAAATCGGTTCTATCCTCACTGCCAACGTATTATTTGTCTATGTTAAAGATTCCAGCTTCAATCCTAAAGTCTCTTAATTCAATTTTGTCTAATTTTTTATGGGGAGGGAGAATTGGTATTAAGAAGATACACTGGGTTAAATGGGATGATGTTTGCAGACCAAAGAATGAGGGAGGCTTGGGAGTCCGAAATTTGTTGAGTATGAACAGTGCACTGATAGGGAAATAGTCTTGGAGGTTCGCAAATGAGAGAAGTTGTGTTTGGAGGGAATTTATATGCAGCAAATACAACATTGATTCAACAAAGTTATTGTTTGATAGCAAGGTTCCACCTAAATCTTCCTGGTTATGGAGAACAATGGTTAACAACTATTACAAGCAAGACACCTTTGGTTCTAAGTTTCGTAGTTTGTGCAGTTTTCATGTTGGAAATGGTAAGAATGTTAGATTTTGGCAGGATAATTGGGTTGCTGATTATTCGTTCCAGATTTTGTTCCCTAGACTGTTTTGCCTTTCTACTAATAAATATGGTAAGCTTTGTGAGTTTGGGGAATTTCTCTCATCGGGTTGGATTTGGGATGTCCAAGTAAGAAGAAACTTGAATGATTAGGAGCTTGAACAATGGTGTAATCTAGTGAGCATAATTTCTTCTTTTTCTCTGTCTAATGATTCCAGTGATGGGTTGATTTGGAAAGGCAGTGGGGATGGTGTTTTTACAGTAAGTTCTTGTGTCAAGAGATGTGCATCAGGTTCAGAAGCTGCTCATTTCTGGAATAATATCGTTTGGAGAGGATTGGTTCCCCCTAGAGCTGAAACTTTAGTGTGGCAAGTTGTTCTCCATAAATTAGTTGTTAAATCCGAATTGGTTAAAAGAGGTGTTCAAGGTATTGAGGATGTTTCATGCCCTCTTTGCATAATGGTTGAAGAAACTTCCTCACATTTATTCTTTAATTGTTCAGTGTCGTGGTCTATATGGAACAAATTTCTAAAATTCTGGAGGTTCAGTTCTGTTTTTTCTGCAGATGCAAGCGTGGGACGAGTTGAAATCTAATTCTGCGATTTGGAATTTCATTCCTGGGGCTGTTATTTGGATCATTTGGAAAACCAGAAATTCTATTGTTTTTGAAGGAGGGAAGCTTGATCTGACAAAGTTGTTCTTCTTAACAAGAGTTAGGCTTGCTTCTTGGTTCCTAGCTAAGCATAAGGATATTTCTATCCCTAAGGACTAGTTGATTTCTGATCCTTCTTTAGGGGATTCTTATTCGACCTATAATTTCGTAAAGTCTTCTATAATCCCTTGGTCACCTCCCCCCATGGGTTTCATTAAATTAAATGTGGATGAAGCCATTAGCAGTGATTGGAAGAAATCAGGTCTTGGAGGTCTTTTGAGGGATCATTCTGGTGTAATCCTAGGTTCTTTTCAGGAGCCTGCTGGTTCGAGACCTCCGACTTTGAAGGAACTTAAAGCTATTCAAAGGGGCATTTCTTTCTTTGCCTCTTTTCAAGGGAGGTTCAAAGATAGGCTGATTGTTAAGAGTGATAGCAGGGTTGCAGTAGACTGGATCAATGATGTTGATTCATGTCCAGTTGTATATGGTTTTATTGTTACAGACATAGTTGATAGTCTTAGAATTTTGGGGGGGGGGGGGGGGTTGTTAGATGGGTTGCAAGGACAGCTAACATGGATGCTAATGCTTTAGCAAAGGCTGGTTTAGGATGATTTTTATGTTGTTGGTATTTTCATATTGGTTTTTGGTTCCTGTTAAGTTGGGGTTTGCTTGTTGTTTTAAGGGTTATTTGGATTTATTTTCCATGGTTGTAATTATTATTTTCTATAATGAAATATAAGGCACTCCTTTCCTCCTTCCGCTGATTAAGGAGCTTCTATACAAGCTTCATTAATCATGAAGGAGGTTTTTAATGAGGCCTTCAAATCTTATAAAAAAAAAAGATAAAGAGTGTATTGTTCAATGGCTTAATGTTGAAAAGACAAGTTCTAACCTAGATGTTAAAATCTAAACAAGACCAAAAAATATGCATCCAGTGAATACTTCTGGCCAAAAAATGACATGAGGCTTATCCATAATGTCAAACCTTTACTCATAGAGAGGTGCTAACTGCTAAGCACATATGTAAAGGGGATAGAAATTTTCAAGAAGCAGACATCAACATTCCCACCCATTAAAGGAAAATGAGAGATTTTATGAGATAATTAGAAGGAAGCATTTACCAAGGCTGTCATCACAAGATACATTGCTATCTTCTTGAGGAAATTGACAGTTTTCTGCCACCTTCACTGCAAAGAAAATGAAAACAGCGGGAATGATTCTGCTATATCCGGGCACTATATCGTACCCATTCTCAGTTGCAACTTGAAATCATCCTAGTATATAACATGTGATAGTTACATTAGCTTATAACATGGTTCATTGTGAACTAAAACAGGTTTGTCCAAGAAAAAAAGTAAGTATTATTATATCTCCTTTTTACCACTTTGGGTCACAAACTACATATGGCACTCAGCAGAGAAGGAAAGAGGCTCAGTGTACCACGGGCTTATTTTTATACCTGCAGCCTGTAAATGGCATGGAAAGGAAAATGGTGTAGTCCTTTGATCAACTAGAGTTTCCTGAGGAAATAGGACCTGGCTTGCTGCAAACTGCAAGATTGCTTCGGCCTGCAAAACCATTGTAAAACAATTTGATTATATACTGGGATACTGATAATGATGTCTGAATTATTGAGAAAACTGGAACGTATATGACCTTGAAGCCAGGAATATTATCATAGACATTCACTTCTCCACAATAAAAAATTGTCATCTGTCCAGCTGGCTCTTTTGCTATACTCACAGATCTGGACCATTGAGAATTTTTCAGTCTAAGAACCTCAATTGGTTATATCAACTATGGAAAAGCAATTAATTTGGAAGTACTCCAATGCATTCTAGCCTGAGATAGAACAAGAAACTCCCAACCCCAACCAAGTGATCTAATTAGAATGCAAGATGCTAGTGAAGCAATCAAAGCAGTGGAAAACTCGGTTGGAACTTCACATTTCTTTAATATCTAAATACCATGTCATTTCATTTTAATGATAAGACCAATGCATAACACTACAATGACACAGTTATGACCCTTGACAAACTAAATAAATCAACAGTTAGGTTGACACCACATCATTTATCTCATGTTTAAAGCCAGCATACATCCACATATGCATCCCATGCCACTTGCGACACAAATATGCCGATCTGGAACCATCTAATCAAATACCACCAATTTAAATGGTTAGAACTTTATTGCATAACTATTTGAAAAACTCGTAGGATCGTCCAGATTGTAAGTCTATATAGTAAAGGGAAATATACTTATTATTGGAATGCCGTCATTTTTGACCAAAATATTTTATAATAATTACAAGCAAAAAATCCGGAAATGAAAGATACCACATAGATATTCAAGGCTCATGCACACGGTCAAATTCTCATTCCATTCACATTGAAACCATAATTTTAAACCGTTGACTCTAGCAACAGCCAATCACGTACAGCTTGACCAACATTATACTTGGATAAAATTTCCTAAAGATAAGTAAACTCAAGGACCTCACACTCACAGAACTCAGATCATGTCAAATGCTTGTATTCCATGCAAAACTAGGGTTATTAGAAAACAGTTGCAAAATTAACAAACGACCTTGGAGAAACAGAGTCATTTCCAGATACGGCGGTTCGAACTGAATTTTCGCCGGAAAATTTGAATTTCGAGGGATCTGGACGGATACGAGGGATGGATACCGGAACTGAGATCCCGCTACGATGCGTCGTTTCATCCGGTAGAACGGTTGAATCAGAGACGAACTGTGAAGATCTTATTTGATTCAACTGGTTTGACTAAAACAGAAAAGATTCTAAAATATGTGTTACTACTACTTTCCATGCCTTGAAAAAAAATGGAAAAAATATTCGAAAATAAATAATAATTATTCCACGCACACGAGGAGGGTTTTCGGGGAAGGGAATGTAAAGTTTCTTGGAAGCTTCGGCAGCTTCCGAATCCGACGTCGTTTCAAGAAGAGTTTTCAGTGAGATGACCTGCTGAAGCGCCTGCGATTTGTTCCACGACGGTCTCCGCATCCCTACAAGCAAAGAAAAACAAAAAGGATCTTCAAAAATTAGAAACAAAACATTCACACAGTTTTGCTTTCAAACAAAAACAAAAGATGCAAAGAGAGCGAAACCTTTCTCTTTGAGGTAACAGCGGCAATCGTCGCGAGTGACCTGGGAAATATCATCCTCGGTGAGTTGGCTGATAGGCTTGTAAAGAGGCGACCGGCAGACCGTTTCTCCGGTTGACATGTCGTCCGGTTTCCAAGTTTCGGTGAGATAGATCGATGAAATGGAGTAAGGTGAGGGATTGGATTTCCTTCTTTTTTTCTTTTTCTTTTTTTGATAAGTGAGGGATTGGATTTCCCTTTTACACTCTGCAATGATTTCTGAGATTACTAATTTCGTAATTTGGTAACAGATCCAGGGGCTTTTTTGGTATGAAAATTGATAGAAGCTTTTTAGGTTAGGTATGGCGGGCTTTTCTAATTTATTTATTTTTCTTCAATTTTAAATGAAGTTATTGCCACCCCGTGACGACACGTAATCGCCAATACAATGCCATCGAGATAGGCACAGTACCCGGTAACACCTCTATTTTAAATTCTACCTCTTGGTCTAGTGGTAAACCCATTAACTCATTTGAAAATACATCTAGATATTCCTAAACAATTGGAATATCTTCCAATCTAACTTTCGAAGCTTGAGTATTCACCACATTACCTAAGAAAGCTTGACAACCTTGCAATACCGCTAAGATCACATTTGACAGTGGATTTAAACTTTCACCAATAACTATGATTTCAGAACCTTTTAAGTCTCTCAGAATTAACCCCTTCAAACGATAATCTATAATGGCATGATTCGGGGACAACCAATCCATGCCCGAGATTAGCTCAAATTCTTCAAAAGGTAATTCCATTAATTTTTTTGGAAACTCAATTCCTTGAATCTTTAATGGGCAATCTCTACAAATACGACTCATCCTAACACTCTGCCTAAAGTGTTAGTTGTTACAATATCACTGGAGATTGGTTCTAATTGAATCCCTCTTTCTTTAATCAACTTAGTGGTTATGTATGAATGTGTAGAACCAGGATCAATCAAAACAAATACATGTTTATCATAAAGATAAAACGTATCTGCAATGATTTCTGGGTTATCCATATCTTCATCAGTCTTCATATTATATACTTTAGCTGGTGTATGAAATTCAGATTGAGAAGCAGATTCTAACTATCCTTTTGCTTTTGTTTTTCCTTTATCTCTTTGTGAAACAACAATATATCTCAGTTTAAACTAATCCTCCAATCATCATAGGACAATCTCTAATGAAGTGGTCAGTCTTTCCACATCAAAACACAAACTCCTGTGATAGCTCGACACACCCCTAGGTGATTTTTAGCGCACACTTCACAAGGTCAGAGCTGACCTTGCGATGATTTTCCTAACAGTCTGAGTATGTTTGGCTTTCATAGCTTTAACTTCTTTATAATTAGATGCAATAGATTCGAATCTATTCTGATATCAAGAACCTGAACCTCTGCCTCGCTTCGATAAAACGAAGCTGAAGATGCTCCCGATCTCTTTGTTGACTGCATTCTTTTTTCTGTCATCTTCTTTGTCTGGACTCGTTCAATTGCTTTGGCTCGTTTATTGAGCTCAATCACATCGAACTCCTTTATCCTCGATCGTAATCCTTCAACAAACCAATCACATTGAGCCTTTTCATCAGGGATCAACAATGTTGCAAAATGACTCAGTTTATTGAACTCACTCATTATATACACCTAATTTCATCCAAAACCCGTATATTTTTTTTCTTTTCAGATCATGTGTATTATTAATAATTACTAGTTACAAATACGTCATTATGTTAGTTGTCATTTGTTAAGGTCGATTTATATTCTATTACACTATTATAATATTATTTACGTTGCAGTGTTATAACATTATTATGGTATTATCATATTAATATTATGTGTTGGCTTTGATGCCATAGTTGTGTGATTATTATTTCTTATTATTAGATTATCATCAATAATGCATGTTATTATCATTGTTAGATCATAATTAATATTTCATGTATTATTATCATTATTAAGTTATAACATTATTAGATTATAATTAACATTGCATGTTTCGGTTCAAAACATTATGTCGTGTGTATGTAATAGTAATAGTAATGTAATGGATATAAATATGAAACATAAATAAAAGCCTTAATATCTAGTTACATGTGCAGTTCCAATACAACTCAAAGCAAGCCTGATCAGCAAGCCCAAATTCAGGCCCATGTGCCCAAACAAGCTGCTAGGGTTTCCATCCCTAATGACCAGAGTCGTCGCGTCCTCGGATCAGCCCACGCGCGTGCATCACCCATATCCCGACAGCATCAGCGAAAAATCGCCCCCGTACGGTTGTTGGGCGGATGCCTCGACGAGCCCTGATCGTGGGATGAACCATTGCAAGCAGATCTAACGGGAAAATGAAGGTCATGTCCCCTCTCCTCTCAACCATACAACAAAAGAAAGATCAAAACTAAAAAGCAAAAAATCTTTTTACTCTTTTATGTAAATCCAAGTGTATAAAAACCCAACGAAAAAAAGTAAAAAAAGAAGAAGAAAGAGAGCGTCGTGTAACCATTCGAATCTTCAATAAAAATATCTGGCTCAAAAGCAAATACAATCAATATTTCAAGGTAATTTTTTGCCTTTTCCATACACCCCTTTTCCCTTATTTGTCGAAATAGAAAGGCTAAAGAAAAAATATGAAAGAATGAGTTTTTTTACCTTGGTCGGGGTCGCCGGAGGGAGAAAGGCTCTGCCTTTAGGTGGTTAGGGTAGCTGGAAAGTCCAAAGGTTGGGACTTTTCGGTCTTTTGTGGTCTATGATCGGTTTAGGGGTATTTTGGGTTTAGGTTTAAGGTTAAAGGTGAAAGCTTTTTTTTTTGGGGTTGGTTTAACGTCAGTGGTGGCCGACGGGTAAAATACTGCTAATGTACGACGGTGTTGGTTTTTTTTATTGGTTCGGTCGAGATGTTTTTAGGAGGGGATGTTGGTTCTTTTTTTTATTTTTGGTTGTCGATTTAGGGCTAGTTGGAAGGAGGAGGCGCCTGGAGGTTGATCGGAGTTGGGTGGCCACCGATTTATGGTAGTCGGCTTCCCTTTTTGGCCTTGGAAGGGTCGACCGACGAGAGAGAATGTTGAGAGAGTAGAGAGAAAACAAAAGATGTAAAACAGGGAATTTGGCTAGGGTTTTAAATTTTACCAAAAATAGAAAAAAAAAAGTATGGATATATATTAGAAAAAGAGTAATTTATGCTGAGGCCCCTATAGTATTGCCGAGGTTTTACAAAATGGTCACTGATTTTCCTATATTTTTTATTTGTTTGATATTTGGCATTATATTTGCAATACTTTCACTTTAGTTACTGATTTAGCTTATTTTTCCTTATTTGTTTTAATTTCAGCTCTTTGTTTGTATTTTTTTCAATTTGGTCACTAACTTAGCCTTAGTTTTATTATAATATTCGATCCAATCTTGCAGTGACCCGATCCGAGGTGTGATCCGCATTATTATGATACATACTTTACTAATTTCTAACAACTAACTTTTCTAACTTCTAAGCATTAACCACTAACTTTTTGATTTTATGTACGAATTATTATACGACCTTGTGACGACCCATCCCAAGGTATGACTTGTATTATATACGGTCCGGGTTAAATGTAAAAATTCCTCTAACATTTTTTATTTCACTTTTTTAGTCTGTTATTTAATTATCTGCTCCTTTTAATTTGTGCATTATACTTTTCTTCATTTTGTTTTAGTCCTTTATATTCCAGCACTTTAAATTTACGTATTTTTTTATTTTTCCCTTTTATTTTATGCGCTTTAATTTCAGTCCTTTAACTTATGCCATTTATTTTCTGGTTCTTTTATTTCAGTCACCACCCTTGTTGCTTGTTTCAATGGAGAATTTTTATATTGAATATATTAGTTTCTAATTCTTTTTTATTTCCTCCCTTATTATTTAATATTATGGCATTTACTCTTCACAGCACATATTTGGTCTTTAAATTTATGCATGATTTTTGCCTTCCTTTTAAATGTTTGTTTCCTTAATTCATGTCATGATCCATTTGACTTCCCACTATAACTTATTTGACGTGATTTGCTTTTTTAAACTGCCTCATTTATATATGTTCACATTATAGCTCATATATAAATATGTGTAAATATTACACTATAAATATAGATTATAATTTATTACCAAAACAAATAGAGCGTGTTTTTAAATGTATATAATGAAAGCATTTTATATCTTTTATATTTATTTTATATATATATATCCCTTATAAACATTCATTCATATTATATATATAAAAATGAATTGCTCGTCTAGCTCAGTTGATAGAGCGTAAGGTTTTTAACCTTGTGGTCGTGTGATCGAGTCTCACTGAGGGCAATTCATAACGAAGGTCTTTCACGGAAGTTGCTCTCAACCTGGAGTTGAGGGCAGCCTACTACCCTACCTCCCCTTACCCCATTACATATGGGAATAGGGTTAGCTAGCATATTATATATATATATTATGTGCATAAGTACAGTATGCATTTTTCAAGTTTGTAACATGTTATATATATTAAGCACGTTTTGTACTATATATCCATATTGTATTAGTTATGCATGTGTATCTTATAATTTATATAACGTATTTTCATTATTATTAATTTCTTCATTAAATATCATGTAATTTATCAAGGTTGACGGCTACTCCAAGCTAGCATATTAATAATTTATATAACGTATTAAATACCAAGTTGGGTGTTGTGGGGGTGTTTTTACTTCTCCATGTGTAATCGACTCTCAAATTATTGAAAAATGAATCTTTGGTAAAATGTAGATCGTTTTTTGTCTTTTAATGATTTTTTTAAATTCATTAAAAAGATTTTTTAAGTATTCGACCTACCTAACCCAAAGGTTGACGGCTACTCCAAAATCAAATTATTTTCAAACCTAAATTTCACCATCTCTTCTCGAATTAATTTTTAAGTCAAATTGATTCCCTCTCATCGTTGGGATGTTAGGGGAAACGTTACTCATGTTCATAAATAGTGTGGTTTCCCTGCTTCAAATTGAGGAATTTTTTTTTCATATCTCGAATAATATGATCTCCAATGTACTTGTTTTTAAATTCTTCTTGAAAGAACTGACATGTCACTTGTTCTAGAGGAGCATGCATCGTAGCATTTGTCCACCATATACGAGCCTGACGTCGGAGCAGTGACACATCTCTATCTATTTTCTCTGCATCAATGCAATGGAAACCATCCAACATAATCTTCACATAGTTTAACCAAAGATCTACGGCAACCGTACCTTTATCTGATTCACCTTTGAACTTAGGAGCTCCAAGATTTTTCAGTTCTTTAGCAATCGACACTCGAGAAGCTGGAGGAGAATAGCGTCCAAAGTTTGAAAGAATTTTCCTTGATCCTGCACAAGCATTCCTTGTTATGACAGTGCTTCACCACGATCAAATTGAGTACAAGGATTGTTATTAACCTCATTGCTCCCACTATTAGCTTTATTATGAAGCTCTTAATCAGTCGACTGACGGGAACCTTCCATTTTCGACATTTGGTACTAACACACACATTCAAATTACGTTAGTAAGGGGCAATATCAATCAAATCACACAAACACAAGATCAAGAATATTGACATCCTAATGACATGTACACACTTTTCAATTCAAAAAAGACTTAGTTTAGATCTAGAATCAGCTAAACCTGTAGATCTGATACTAATAAATGTAACACACATTTCTCGTATACGTTACTGAATACAAGTCAAAGATGTCACATAAAACATTTAAAACACTTCCCATTCGAAAAATAATAAAATTTTGTTTCTTTTAAAATTTCATCTATTTCAAAAATAAAATAAAACATTCTCTTAATTGCGTAAAACCATAATATACTATTTTTGACATCCAAATCAATTTTGGTTTCAGGCAACAACGTAGTAGTTCAATAATGTTTAATATAATAAACCGAACTGCTTAAACAGAAATTCATCTCTTTAGCTATTAAAATTCAATATACTAAAATACAAAATAACTAACTATTTTATAACTAGTAATTTTATTAAGTATCATCTTCTATAAACTAGATTTTAACATACTCATTTGGTATGTTACTTACTAAACCACATATATATAACTATTTGTTATCATATCATAACAAGGCATCACCAAATATAAAATATACATGCCAACTAGAAAGTAAAAAAATCAAAAGATGGCATAATATTACTAGAGAGTTGATCTGATCCTAAAAAAAGTTGATGCTGAGCCTAGCTCCTTACTCTGAATCCATATCTTTACGTACACGTGAAAACGTCACACACTAAATATATACTTAGTGAAGCATTATAATACTAATATAATATAGGTAAACAATTTAATAAAACATATATGTAACAAAATATAACATATGTATCATAATGTGAAAACATCATATAAAATTTATGTGATTCAGAATTTCATATATAAGGCATTCAACGTTAAACCATATTTCTCGATGAAAACTTTACTTTCAATCAAATCAATCAAACATGTACATTTTCATTTTATTTCAAATCACACCCCAATGTAATCAATGAGAATGCAAGGTATGTGAGTCAGTCGAGTATGAACAAATTGCACTTTATGTGCCAGACAGATGTACAGATACTATAAAACACAGTATCAAGTACCACATATAAGAAATATCATAGTCCAAAATCACATCAACCATGTATTCACCATAGTTGCATACAATAGTCCAAAATCACATCGACTATGTACTCAATGCAGCTGTTACTCCACCTCATGTCATGCCAATTACACCTATGACTCTCGATGCATTAATAATGGGAATTTTCATCAAAATCACATATACCATTCACATATCAAAGTATCCATAGTTACAAATGTAACACCCCCAACCCGTACCCGACCCGAATACAAGTCCGAGGTATCACATTGATTTTTAAAAACTTTTACTATAAAAAAATAATGAATAATTTTAAAACTTTTACTAAATACAATTGACTAATTTACATAAATTAGTATCATATGATTTTACAAAACTAATTCGAGTATATCGAATTCAAATCTTTATTTACATGCCAAATACATATATTTTCTTATCTAAACTTTGTAAAGGAGATATTGACCTGTCTTGCTCCACATTGTTCTCTATATTCTTCTCGAACCTACGTGTGAAACAATCACACTCTAAGTCGATGACTTAGTGAGGCATAAAACATATAATAAAACTCCAACTCGTAATCATGCTTGAACAATTTCTACTAACATATCACATACAATCATCACACCCATATACATAATAATTCCTACTATGCACCTTTCATATTTCTATTCTCTTGTTTATATGATCAATTAAGTTCATATCATATATCTTATAGCATATACAATAATCATTAACATATATCATATCATATAATTCATATCACAAAACACATATATACATCACATACATTACATTCAATGTTATCTCTTATTAGCCCATGTGCACCTGTGAGAACTGTAGATATGTGAGTCTATTGAGGTTGTGCAGCACTATAATGTCACCACAGCTCATAAAATGTCCCGAAGGACCTATCCAGAGGTCACAAAGACCCCGATAACTATTCAGAGGTCATAAAGAACCTCGACAACTGTCCATAGGTCCCAAAGAACCTAGGTAAATTGTCCATATGTTCCTTAGAACATAGGTATATTGTACATATGTTTCGAAAGACATAGGTAAAATTGTCCATATGTTCCGTAGAACATAGGTAAACCCTCGACTCTTGGCATGCCAACTATACCCTTAGCTCTCATGACACATAACATGGGCATTATCTTTATATCCTTTACATATTCATGTAACCATATATATATTCATATAAGCTCATGGTTCATTCACATATACATGTAATCACGTAGTTCATGTCAATTCTCATATGAGTTCATATTCATATAAATATAGGATTCACCCTCATGTATCACATATACTTTCTCTTTCATATAGCTCATAACATTTCTCAGGTGTTCATATGACATGTAAATCATTGTCATCTTATCATGTTATCACATAAACATATAATCTTACAATACATACAAAAACACATCAATACATATATTCACATATATCTATCATTTCATTATCCTTATTATTATTATTTATCCTC